AGACGCCAAAAGCCGCGGCGGCAACGGCACTAGTCGCATCCCCCACCTCCCTGATTTAAACCCATCCTTCTTTCTTTCTTTTTTTCTTTTTTCTCCATATTCACACTTTTGATTGTTTCCATCACGGACACACGCTGGCTTTTACTCCAGTTTGTTGCGCTCAAGGAAGGAATTTCGTCAAGCAACACATTGACATACAGGCTCCATAGGTTGTTTGTATAGGCTGCGATCCTTAAAGGGCTGGACGTGGCCACCAGAAAACACAGCAGACGGGACGGAGTCAGGAGGTGTTTTTCCTCAGTTAAAAAGCAGGAAGAGTGCAGTTTTTTGTTATTGTTTTTTACGTCACATTAAATCAAGATTTCCTGTCATTATAACGAATTGAACTTGCGGTCGTTGCTGAATTATCCTTCGAGTGAAACAACGCTTTAATTCTTAGTTTATCTCCTTGCTGTACACCCACAGCACTATAGTGTTTTCCCTCCTCGTCTCCTTTTCACCGAGATATTTCTGCTACTCCGAGGCAGCGCTGTGAAACAAAACACTTCACCGCTCAGCTGTGTGACAACAATGAATCCGTATCTACAGCACACACTGTACTGGCTGCCCAGGATGTTGCAGTCCCCCTCGTAGACTTGTTGCTGTTCGCCTCCATCACTTCTCACTCGAATTCAGAGAGGTTTTTAATCCACCTGCTCATCTTCTCACATCTTTACGGTAATTAGAAAAATAGAGCTGGTCGGTTTGACCGATTGAATGGTCCTAAATGTGTCACTTCCTTCGGTCCGATATGTGAATTTGGCGTGGCGGTGTTTATGAGATGGAGAATATTGGTGGAGTGTTAAATGTCGAGGCTTCGATTTATACATTAAGGTTGTAGATTTGAGTCCTGGGTCGGGTTTTGTCGGTCTCGCAGCGTAACGTAGTTCATTAGTTCTACTGGGATTGGCTACAGTGGTGGATGGATGGATGGATGGATGATGGATGGAAGGATAGATGATGGATGGATGGACAAATGGATACATAGATGATGGATGGATGAATGGATGGATAGATGATGGATGGATGGTTGGATGGGTCAATGGATGGATGAAAGACCACCAGTCTATAGTGTGTCCTGGCTTCTGTCCATGTAATCTGAGATGGGGCTTGGCACCAGCACCTCCTGTGGCTGTCAAAGGATGAGTGATAGACGATGGATGAATATTTATAGACTGTGGGAAAAAAAACATCAAAATGTAAATACTATGCTGTGTACACTGAGAGTATTGTCATCTACGCCGAGTATCCATAGTCATTTCCTTTTTATCTGTGATTAGCCCGTACTTGGCGCCCAGGTCTGTGAGTTATGGGCAGGTGTGTAATGTAAATGCAGTCTTCATCTACTGTAAAATAAATTTAGATGCTACAACTACAAATATGCAAATACATTAGAAAAGTTTGGTAAACACCGTCATTTATGGCACAACCTCCATTAATCATCACGGCTGCTGTCCAGGACTTAAAGGTGACTTTTTTAACAGTGACTCAAAGACTGATTAATTACAGGCTAATTATAGCTTCACGCATGTGCAATCTTAAGTTTGAAAGTTTATCAACTAGACCAGGGGTTCCCAACCTCTGGTCCGGGGACCAGTGCCGGTCCAAAGATCATTTAGTACTAGGCCGCAGTGGGAAAAAATGTACTTCAGTTTTACTAATTGACTTCATTCCAAAAGAATCCAGTCATGTTCCTTTACTGTTTTCATTCAAAGATAATCTGTCAATGTTTCAAAACAACAGGTCAAAGGTCATTCAGACTCTGATACTAACAGAAGAAAGTCTAAAAGACGTTTTATTTTGAAAATTCAATGATCCTTCAACGATGGCTTGGTATTACCAGTCCGCAATAATGGCGGATATATAAAACGGTCAGAGACTTCTCACTGTGGTGTTCAACTGGAGGAACCTGCACTTTTTTTTAATTATAGCAGGAATATGTGATGTCATATTCCTGCCGACTGGGGAGGGGGGTGGGAGGGAGAAGGGGGGAGGGCTGTTTATGCAACACTTCGTCTAAAAAAAAATCATGTTGCAGCCAAGTGGAGGAATGTGAAATAACTGTGTGAAGCGCGAGGAACATGTTGGGTTTGGGTAAAGGGCGCCTGGTAAGAGCTGGGACAAATTAGACTCATGCTGCTGTGGGCGCGGGCTTCTAAATAGGGAAGTGAAATTACACTGTGAAGAAATACATAGTATTCAAGCCCGAGAATAAACACCGAGGTGAGCCTCAAGAGGCTGAAAACCCTCAAATTGCATTGAAACTATATTAATGCCTTACAAAGACGGGGGGGGGAGAGGGTGGGGGAGAGAGGGGCAGATCCCCTTCAGTGAAACACCAGGTGCATGTTTCTGTAAAATACCTCTTCACTATCTTCATCTTATTTGTATTTATAACCCCCGTCCTGGCGGTGTGATGTGTTCAAGGTACCAACGCGGCTCATGTAAGTAATATGTATGGCCGTTTATTCAGCCCTCGCTTGTTCGGCGGTAGTGTTTGGTGGATGTAATCCCAGGCTTTGACGTGGCGCAGGGCGAGAGTGAGCGTGCATACGAGCATCCCATGCTGCTGATCAAAAAAAGAGTTCACTCAGTTCATACTAGGCTTCATCGTCTGACTGATATACAAACTTTGGGTGCAATACCACCACCTACTGGGTTGAACAGGAAGGCATCTTTGTTACCCATTTGCCGGAAATTAGGGAACTGAAAAGATATTTTTGAACAGTTTTAACCTCACTCAGAAAAGTCTGATTATCTTTTTTTTAATGATAGAGTAAGAGTATCCACCAAGGTTGATAGTTGAAATAAACAAACATCTATTTATGGACTGACTGTCAAAACATCTGGCTCAAATTTGGATGTTCTCCAGAGGATAAATCTTTAATTATTTGGATGACAGCCTTTTCTCATCTGCAGGTCAAAACTATAACACAGCTGGCACGTTAGCAAATTAACACAGCTTAGATGCTTTCACACATTTCACATCAGCATGTCAGGATTTGACATTAGCACTGAGCTCAAAGCGGTGCCATGGCAACAGATTCTAAACATGGCCGCAGACAAAAATATGACTTTATTTAATTTTCTAAAGGAGGTTTCTCCCTCATTCCTTCATATTCTCTTATTTTAGTCAATTTAGTCTATGACTTAAGTCACTTTAGTCTCTGGTTTAAGTCACTTTAGCCTTCGACTTAAGTCATTTCAGTCTCTGACTTAAGTCAATCTTGTCTCTGATTTAGGTCACTTTGGTCTCAGAATTAAGTCACTTTAGTCTCCAACTTAAGTCACTTTAGTCTCTGATTTAAGTCACTTGAGTTTCCAACTTAAAGCACTTTAATCTCTGACTTAAATCATTTTAATCTCTGACTTAAGTCACTTTAGTCTCTGATTCATGTCACTTTGGTCACTTATTATTTAATTGAGGCCAAGTGGATTTTCATTGTTAATACATACAATGAAAACAAAGGATTAATTTATCCATCCATCCATCCATCCATCCATCCATCCATTCATCTATCCATCTATCCTCCTTGTAAAACCTCTGTGTTTGTAACCCCACGAGCCGCAAATCTTTTTTTTTCCTCTTTCTCTTCAACAGATTGCCTTTTTGTGACCGAATACTTCACCCACACGCCGCGTAAACTCAACGCTTTCAACTCATTCGCCAGTGTGGAACTGTTCCACTTCAGTGTGCCTGACAACAGCATGATGGCCATATGGAACCTCATCACCTTCAAGGAGCAAGGAAGCACGTTTGGAGACAGCTGCCCCAATCGCAACGTGACTGTGTAAGAACAACTTGTTCACCACAACAAACAAGCAAACAAATAAAAATAAATACACATACCTTAGTACTGCAAACATAGAAATGTACTTTGAGATGGAGAACTTTACTAGTGCAACTATTTCAAAATAAAGCGTCTACATTAATTTAATTTTATTTCCTGTTTTACTAAGCAGTGATATGATATACAGTGGTATGAAAAAGTTTGGGCACCCCTGATCATTTTCAGGATTTTCCTTTATGTATCATTGGTTTTTCGGAACAGCAATTTCAATTAAATATATCATATAGCAAACAAACACAGTGATATTTAAGAAGTGAAATGAAGTTTATAGGATTTACAGAAAGTGTGCAATAATTACTTAAACAAAAGTAGGCAGGTGCATA